ATCCTCCCTTCTGGATCCGAAATACCATTTCCGATCACAAATGTAACTTATTACATTTCGTGTATTTTTCACGTGATCGGTCACGATATCCGGTATCACAATATCTAAAAAAAGATCAACTTTTGATTCAAATACTGTATTTAAACCCTTAGCTCAAATATGGACGTGCTTTTTGAAAGAAATAAACCTACATAAGAAACCATTTTTTGTGCTTTGATAAAAATTTTTTCCTTGAGCGACTTACTATAGACTTTGTTAAACCTATCCTAATATGAACACTACTCCTAACATCAATGAAATTAAGAAATTTATCTGCACGATCATCTGTATTTTGATTTTCATAATATTTTTAATAATTCATAATGATTTTTATTATTAAAACGTCACTTGACCTAAACATTTGGATTTTTATGATCAATATTTTACTTGATTTCGAAGTTGAGTGTCCTCCAATACGCTTCAGGCACCAACAATATATGCTTAACGTTCTTAATAATTTATTGGGATTAAACATTGTAACAACTATAAAAGAGATTATTATTATGAATTGTTTTCCAAAATGTTTATCTTATATTACAAGATTATGAAAGTAGAATATTGTAATATTGATGAACATTCGTAAATGAGACATTATTTAGCAATACAACAAAGATTATAACTTAGAAACTTCTACTATTCCTTAATCACGGAGTTAATGAAATTATTCCGAAATCATTAAAAAAAAATCATAGTAGAGTTTTGCTCATCTTACAATTTTTTTATTATAAAATATTCGTTTTTAATAATGAACTATTTTCAAAATATTCTTTTATATTTTTTAGTTATAAAGTTATTTTCTTTCGTAATATGCCAAAATGCACCTATTCCCCGATATGAACAGACCAGTATTATAGTTGATGATAAATTTTATTTCATTGGCGGCTATACACAAGATTCAATCGTTACTAATGAAGTGTGGTATCTTGATTTATCAAGTTCATTTAATCTAACAACACCTCCATGGCGCAATGATGTCGGAATTCCAGTAGGATTAAATTTGGGATCATGTGTTAGTTCTATTGATAATTCCATTATTTTCACGATTGGCGGAAGAACATTTACTACAGATAGAGCGAATAATTATGTATATGTATCATCAGTATATGCATTTAATTACAAGACTTCACAATGGACAGCGCCAAATATTAATAAATTTAATTTTAGCTTCACAAAACGCGCTGAAATGCAAGGCGTTATTGACAATAACGGAAAAATTTTTATCTTTGGAGGAGAAACTTATAATAACACAATAAATATTGCTTATAATGACATGAATATTCTTGACACTACTACTATGACATGGTCAACATTAACCCAACCTTCAAGTGTTCTATCTTACGTCGATTATACGGCTACATTGTTATTAAATGGTCTTATTGTTTATCTTGGTGGAGTTGAAGGTTCTCTTTCAACTTATACAAGCATGGTATGACACATATGATAAGTTTTGTTTGCATTTAATTTCTAATCACTCGTTTCTAAAGAAATTTACCTTTATCAGATGATGATCAAAACATATGATACAAAATCTAATGTCTGGTCTACTAAAGTATGCAAATAAAATATTTAATTATTGTCAATCTAATAATAGTAATTAATAATCAAACTTGTGAATATTTATTTTATCACAGGTTGCTAGTGGTAGCACTATAGGAGTTCGTTTTGGGCATTCAGCTGTTTTAAGTAAATTAATTTGCTATTTTTTTAAAAAAATCTTCAGCTAGCTGTTTATAAACCATGATTCTTTTTTATCAGCTAAGGGTGAAAGTATTATTATGTATGGAGGTTCAATAAGCAATAATGCGGTAGTTTCACCAGCGACTCCACAAATTGCGATATTAGATATAAATAACTGGATCTGGTCTATCCCAAATATTCCACAGACAAACGCTCCTCCACCACTTACATATCATTCTGCTGAATTATATAATAATTACATGATCGTCGCATTTGGTAGTATTAGTTGTTATTAAGTTTCTATTCATTTTTAAAAGACCTTTTTTTTGTTAAAATTCTTTAATATTCACATACATAGGCCGAAATCCATCTATTTCAATTAAAACATTAGTCAATGCTGTTTATGCTCTTGACATACAAAATTATGTCTGGGTTACTACATTGACTCAAACTAAATCTACAAATACTATACCGCCTACGCCTATTACACCTTCAGAAAGTTCACCAAATAATAATTTAGTTATCGGAATTGTAGTTGGTATAGGTAGTTCTATTTTAATTGGTTCGGTACTAACTGTTGGAATCTTATTTTATAGAAGACAGCAGAGAAAAAGAAATATTCTAACCATTCCAAATGTAAATGATGCGAGTGTACATGTAGTAACCATTCCAAATGTAAATGATGCGAGTGTACATGTAGTATCATCATCCGGAATGTCTATGTATAGTGCTTCTACATCTGAAAGACCATTATATACTTCTGGGGTACCTATACCTGAAGCGCTTATACCTGGCAATATTTATCATCAAAATAATAAATAAAGCTTTTTTTTCTACTTTTCAGTTTTAACCAAATTTATTTTATTTACATCATCAAATTGTAATATTTTTATGGCAATCAAGTTGTATAATAGTATGTATCTTGTTATTAACACCCTCTAATCTTTTTTTTACTGAAATTCGGATCGTATCCGAATCGGGTTGTAAAACCGTTATTTATTGGTTGCGCTTCTACTCGTGATCCGCCACATTTCCTTTTTTACTAAAGTGGCGAAGATTTACGTCTAAAAATTTTATATTATCTTATGTGCGCAATATGCGTTGAAGTCGCTGAAGGTGCTGAAGGCACATAGGCAGAAGTTCGTCTGATTGGCTAATAAATTCAATTTAATTTTACATTATTTATACAGTTTAGAGTACTT